GGTGATTTTCTAGACGTAGATCACGTACTGCTACCATTATCTCGATACCATAAATTTAAACTTCAATACAGTTACCGTTACATCTAGAGCAGACAGATTAAATTGTCTGACATCGTCTAGGGGGTCAATTTGATCCATTACAACCGTTTACTGGTTAGAAAGTGAATGTACCCTTAGTGATATTAGGTATAAGCTAAGTTCATTATTAATTTTTAAATTATGTACTATTTACAAGGAAAATATATATTGTCATTCAAATATACGAATATAATTGAAAAGGAGAATATTATAAATGTTCTCAATTTAGTTCTATATATTTTTTGTTTGTTATTTTATTTATGCTCTGTCATTTGTAAACCGATTCGGTAATTTTTTATTTATCTGAAAGGATATATTTACAGATGAGTCCCATAGAAATTTTATCAAAATCGCTACAGTAGTTTAGTTTTGAGATCAAAATAACTGGTTTTGTCACAATTGAAAGCGGTTTTTTTGTGGAATACTATCTTAATTATGACAAAACACAACGACTAGACATATCATAGACACATCAGATAAAAAAATGTTAGCATGCAAAGAGAATGTCAGCTTTAGTTATAAAAAAAAATTAATTAAAAAAAAAAGAAATTAATGATAATGTAAATAAACGAATAATGTAAGTTGTACGAAAAAGTAAGATGAAACAAGATATGTATAGATTTAGCTACAGAATGAGATCTGTGACTGTTGGTTCTCTCTGCTTAACTGCCTACCTCACAAGAGACTTAGCGTGAAGATAAATAAAATAAAAACAGTATTAATATTATTATTATTACTGGTCTGTATTGATTTTATTACAATTGTAGCATCAGTTTTTTTTTTGCTGAGAAAAATATTTTTAAATACGTATTTTTTAACGTACGGAACCCCGAAAGTGCTAAAATTTTGTCTCATAATATTTTAATTAGACATCGTAAGTAGGTGAAAGTTGGAGACTGATGATTATGTTTTATCTATGAACAATACAGATAACAGATCTCTTCTGTGATATTAAGAATGCGGGAGATTAATAGGGCGCTTCGAGCCAAACATCCGTCACTAAAGACATTACAGACTGTCACTAAAGGTGATGGTGACTATATTTGATGATTTGAATAATTATGGTTCTCATTTACATAGCGTTAAAGCTTAGAATGACATAACAAAAGATAAAAATCAGGTGTTTAAGTATGTTCGAAATTAATATATCATGTGTGCTTTTCACATGAATTAATCATTTTCAACCGACTTGACTAAACAAAGAGTTTGAGAATTTGACTGCATTTTTTATATGTTACGTAGTATCTTAACCATCGTGCCATATAGCCATCGGATTAGCCAGTGTAGATGCCATATTAGTTTGGACAAAAGGTTTTATTTTTATTTTGCTGAGCGGAATCTTAAATTGTTTCATAACGAGATAATTCTGTCTCGCAGCTTTCCTCAGATACATAGGCATATTAAAAAGGTATTACCAGTCAGTCCCTAGTTTTTATCCCCAATTTCGTACGTGTGGAACTAGGTGATTACTGCTTGATGGCGTTTTAGGATATAATATAACCAGATTTTGAGTTAGACCTTTATGAACGTAACTGCATTCAATTTAGTGCAACAGCTTTTGCGTGACGCTGTAACAATCGTACAGACATATTCTTAAAAATATTGTTTTGATTTTTATTACTTTTATTAAGATTCTTTGTATCATTTTTTAACCCATATACAGTCATCATTTACGTAACACTTTTATGAGAATACTAGCAACCCGCTTTGCTTTCGCACTTCACAAGTCATAAATTTACCTCTTTATAAATTTAATATAGATTTCAATAAGCACTGTACAATAATTAGTCCGTTTCCATAAGGTTGTCATGAAAAGACTGCTTTCAGAAGGCGGTCTTAACCGTCTTCCTATACTTTTACAATTGTATCGTTACATTTATAATTCATTCATTGATTTTTTTTTTTGATGGGTGAAAATGGTATGGTTAACCCGCCTGTGCTAACGGGATACGCTGGCGGAGTACCAGTGAAGGGTGATAGATGAGAATAAAAACAAGTCAGTTAGCCCATCATGATTAATTCATCAGGAATTAACCATGATAGTTTCCAGGGAGAACCACGAGGAGGTCGACCTTGCTGGGTATATTGCTTTTTTTTTTTTTTTTTCCGTGTGGAAAATCTTCGGTATTCTCAGTCTCCATTACTAACAATCCCTTTCCCCCCATTGAATATGATTGCAAGCAGGTTGGACTGCCCTTTCATTGGTCACTGTTGATCTTTTATTTATTTGTGTTATTGTAAAATATACTAACATTAGGTTAAGATTATGTTACTAACAAATTAGGCCATTGCAGCCTGTAATAACAAAAAAATATATATATTATTCTTGTACCTATACTCGTTCATGAAAATTGAATAATTATTATAACTAGTTTCCTAACTGGAGGTTGTAAGTTATTCGAGTATATACAGAGTGCTGTATTAAGGACCTATCAAAATGCAAGTACCTAATATATGTGACATTTCAATAGGCGCCGGGCCTGCACATTCAAATTTAATAACCATTCCAACTAGCAACCTAATTAGAGGTTGAGATAAAATTGAATATTATTTATTTATGTAATATTTTCCATCGAAACATGTGTTTGACAAGTCGTTTTGAATTATGCAACATAAAATCTAGACCAGTAAGGTAGTTTGACTTCGAAGTGTGGGCGAAGCGGATTTCGTAGAAGGATAGTTAAAAGAAAATGAATCATAATATGCCACCTACAGTGAATTAAAAATGGGCAGGAGTCGTTTAAGTTTCTTTTCAACCGACTTTTAAAAGGAGGAGTTCCTCAATTCGGTTGTACTTTTTTTATATTTGTTACCTCATAACTCCTTTTGTTGTGAACCGATTTAGAAAATTCTTTTTCATTTAAAAGGATATGCTTACAGATTAGATCCATATAAATTTTATTAAAATCGGTTCAGTAGTTTGTTTTTAAATCAAAATATTTGGTTTTCACCAATTGAATTCAATTTTTGTTTTTTTTTTTTGTAAAACGCAATCTGAATTATTATAATATGAATATTCTCTGGTTAATTTCTATTTACATAAATTATTATTAAGTTTTACATTATAATTTTAATAATTAATAATAGTTTCCTAACTACTTATTTCTCGGTATATACCCAATGGTTATGATTAAGACCTATCAAAATGTTAAGTCCGCTAATATATGTGACATTTCAAATGGCGCTGTGCATTACAGTTTAAATTTAATAAATATTTATATACTAGCAACAATTAGACCAATATAATATTATTTATTTACATATTTTCCATGAATACAAATGTCGTTATATTGTGCAACATAAAATCTGAACCAGTAAGGTAGTTTGACTTCGAAGTGTGGGCGAAAGTGAGGGATAGTGTGTCATAATATGCCACGCTACAGTGAATTAAAAATGGGCAAGTCGTTTAATTTTCTTTTCAACCGACTTTTAAAAGGAGGAGTTCCTCAATTCGGTTGTACTTTTTTTATATTTGTTACCTCATAACTCCGTCAGTTGTCAACTGATTTGGAAAATTATTTTTTTATTTAAAAGGATATGCTTACAGATTAGATCCATAGAAATTTTATTAAAATCGGTTCAGTAGTTTGTTTTTAAATCAAAATATTTGGTTTTAACCAATTGAATTCAATTTTTTTTTTGTAAAACGCAATCTGAATTATTATAATATGAATATTCTCTGGTAAATTTCTATTTACTAAGTTTTACATTATATTTTCTCAATTTAATAATGCTTTATCTACTTATTTCTCGGTTTACCCAATGGTTGACTGATAGAGACCACCGTCCGGTGTTAAGTCCGCCAAATGTACATAGAATGTCGCTCTGCTTTACAGTTTAAGTAAATAAATATTTATATACTAGAAACACCCAGACCAATATTAATAAACATATTTATGAATACAAATGCTTATATTGTGTAAAGATTGAACCCACGATTATGGGAAAGTGAGGCAGTGTGTTAAAACGCTACTTTGTCAAGCTCGTATTAATTTGTGCTTTACAGCTGCACCATGGAGGTCGCACATACATACATTTTTATTTGTGTTAATATATTTGAAGTGTTATCATGAATACTAAGTCTGAATATATTGAACAAGCCTCCAAAGTTGTAAATGTTTATAGATATACATGAATGGTAGGTAGGTATTTGGATTACAGAGGAATTTTATTACTTGCAATAAAATAACCGTTTTATCTATTGTTAATATAATTCTTGAGATATAGGTACATAAACCATTATAACATTAGAAATTTAAAATACTGATTATACAGACTAAGGGAAAACTTATTCTAATAATATTTTTGAGTAAACAATAATTGAAAACTCCCCTTATAGGGGAGACCTATGTTCAGGAGTGGACAGTTAACGGCTGATATGATATGATAGTCATCATATTTGAAATGCGCTCTTATTAATTTCATTTTTATTAACATTCTAAAAGATTGTTAATAAGTTGAAAATTTTGCATTCCGACGGTTCGATCAGTTGCGATTCCAATCCTCTTGTAGGTGTAGGTATGCATCATACTCATCATCATCATACATTGTAAAATTGTTTTCAATTTGAATATGGATATGAATTGAAAAAAAAAATTGAATTTGAATTTGGATATTGTGATATTTAAGAAAAAATTACCTGAGGGGTTTTCAATAATTCCAATAGGTGGTAAAACAGTATTTTTTTAGATATTTTGCTTGTCTGTCTGCCTATATGTTTGTTCCGGCATAAAAGTTTTAAAATCTGTATCTGTATGTTTTATCTTTATACGTAATTTATAAGTAGTTTATTTCATTGGTTTTCCTACTACTGAAATCCACGCATTTCGTACACGTAAATTTCCGAAATAGTTTAGTGGGCATAAGGCTAGGTTAAAATATTTTCAAATATATACTAAAATATATATTTTTTCTCTTTCCAGGACGAGCTCGGCAAAGATCAACGCGCGAACAGACAGGGCAAACGGAATCAAACTCCAAAATGTGACCACCGACATAGTGACCAAAACAAACGCACGCTTCAAATTCATGAATCTTTCCTCAAGATTACATGATTAACACATTATTTATTGTACTTGTAACTTTAAATATAAACGAATCTAGTCGCCATAGCACTTTTTAAACACGAAGCAATATAGCATATAACACTAAATGAATAGAGTTGAAATCGTCACATTCATTTTTGACGCAGTACAAAGATTAAAGAATTTGATGAGAGAGTACAAACGACTGACCGGAACGCTAACATCGATTTATAACTAAATTGATTTCATTAGAAGTTCCTACACAGAAAAGTGTCAAGAAATCAAAATGTCTACTAGTGAGTATATAATTATTTATATATTTTGCATTTAAATAATGTGAAATGAAACCCGCCACTTTGTATTAGTAAATTAGGAAAGAGCATATTAGTAAATTTATTTGCTTACTTTAAATTCCAAGAACCAAGCACCTCATTTTACGAAATTTACGAAAGTAGTATTGTGGACTTACAGGTCATAAAATTTATCTCTCTCTCGATGCATAAGCAACGGTTATAATTTAATTGACTAAATGACTACTTCATTGGAGTTACATAGAACCCTATTTTTATGTTAGTTTTGACCTCCAAACTATGTCCTGGTAATCATCGCGGTTTATTTATAAATAATTCATTACGATGATCCTGTTGACCTAATTTCATACTTATCCTTGCATATTGTTAGCATAGACGAGTTTTTAATGGCTAAGAATTGGTTGGTAATTCTTTTTGTATACTCTGGAGAGATTATTGCTGAGGATGAAAGTAGAACAATCCCTTTCGTCCTAAAATATGTTGGTGTACTCCTCCAACTTTATCAATAAAAACCTCTTATTGTTGTGCCAACAATATCTGTTTGCCTTACACGGATTTAGATGTAGTGAAAATTGAAGTTTGGTTTAAAAGGAGCAATTAAAAGTAAAACAGCCTCCGCGTACCCAAGCTTGTGATGTTATTTCTATGTTTTAAAATCATAATTAACAATACTTTTCAGGTTTTGAACACTCCGCCATGAAGAGTAGCTTCTCGTTGTCTTCATTGAGAAGCGCGCCCGCTCCACCTGGCGGCTGCTCCGATCAACACGAGCGGCCGTATCACAGCCTCACTAAAAAGAGGTCTGATTGTGATGATTCTGTTATGTGTAGACTTTGTTAATCTTTAATGTTAGGTTTACCTTTAATAACTTTTATGATATTATAATCATAATATCAACATTTGTTTATTGATAGAGATCTTTATCTATCTATTACCTACGTAATTTATTATTGAACTACCACGTTGGTAATGGCCCCTTTTGACTAATTTCGTATTTTTTTATACAACTTAGAATGACAAATAAACTGACGGCCCACCTGATGGAAAGTGGTAACCGTCGCCTAGAGACATGGGCAGTACCATGGACATAACAGAGTATACTGTTTCGCCCATGATACCCCCCATGCGTTGCCATTCCTGAGGACTCAGGTGTTATTTCTCTGTACCCAGTAAATTCACGCCATATCCCACCTTTCAAACCGAAACACAGCCATGAAAACACAACTGCTTCACGGTTGAAACACGAATGGGACCGAGGTACCCAAGCAATCGACTTTTGTACAAAGTCTCCCTCTGGTATTGTTTTATATATTGTATAATTGTCTATGGCAACCGCTTATCTTATCTTATATTTCCTATTAAGAATTATCCATATTATTAATTCACTGTGATAATTATATATTATCTTTCAATGCAGTATAATGTTGCAACGCCATCTATTATCCATAATTGCGTTTCCATTGACATACAGACATACGACGGCAGATGGCGCTATAAACTTAAAAACAATTCGATATTTATTCCACAAAAAAATGGCGGGATTGTCGATTCTTACATTCATAACATTTGCTATTGTCAACTAGTCCCTGGTTACCTCTTAGGAATTATAGCTGTGAGCATATTTATTTTAAAAGAAAAATTGTTATATTACAGAAAGGAGCCATGCCGCGAGGTATGGCGCCGGAGCTGGGGGTCGGCAGCCAGTGGTGGCAGCGCTGGCGACGATCTGTGGCCGCTGCTGCAGCATCATTATGATTACATCATGGACAACCAGATCATAGACACATGCAAGGTTATTGATGTTTTCACTGTTTTTTTTAGATCAATGGCTCGTAAGACGATAGCCGTGTGGTCTTAGCATAGAATAAGCCCCCTCTTTCTTTTCCGTGCGTGTCGTAAGTGGCGACTTAGGTAGGGCGAGAGATAGGCAGCAACGTCCTTCTTAATATATTACCAAAGCTTAGCTGCGGTTGCTAAGCCACCTGCCAAGCGTGGTAATTACTGGCAAAATCTCCTTATGGGGTAGGCCTGTGTTCAGCAGTGGACAATTAACGGCTGCATCATCATCTAACACGATGGAATGCTAATGGCTATGTACTAATTTATTTATTTATTTATTACATACACAAGATTACGACAAAACATTTTTATAATAGCAAATATAAATCAATCACCTTCAATCACCTCTTTCAAGAAAAGGTTGAAGTTACATTTTCTTTCCTTTGAGTCATAATCTTAATTTATTTATTTTTATAATTGAACTGTCAAACTTTAAAATCATTCAACTAAATTTCTATTCTAGGTAGTATATTCATTTATTTTAACATCCACTGTATAAGTAGGTAGATATTATATTTATTTATAGTATATGTATTTATGTAATATTTTATTATGTATCTTAATATTTTATTTAACTGTATATTTGTTTATGTATACTAAATATTAATAGTTGTAGCACTTTAGCTGCCCGCTAGCAACATGTTTTCTAACTGCATTGGGTTGACTGGAAGAGATCTCTGTCAGAGATAAGTCCACCCTTGCTCACAATATTTATAAATGCATTAACATTGTAATTTACAAGTGCAATAAAGATATATATATATATATATATATATATATATATATATATATATATATATATATATATATATATATATATATATATATATATATATATATATATATATATATATATATATATATATATATATAAATCTGTTTTCTTAGCTCATCTTCATGCTCTTTTCTATATGGACCGTCTGTAAAACTATGACTGGTATCCTATAATCTGATTCCTTCTTACTATTAACTTTAAAGCCTTTCAAACAAAGAGAGGAAAAACACTTGGTGAACTGATTGTGTCAGGATAAGTTAATAGTCTTTCGTATATATATATAATATAGTATAGTCTCTAATACACATTTTATTGGATGAGATAAGAAATTCAAAAATTAAAGAGATGTATGGTACTCAGCTTATCCCTTACAGGCTTAGTCGTGAAAATAGAGTCTTGAACTTGATTAATTTTATTTACCTTTAAATATGTAATTACAGGAAGCAAACGGTGAATTGTTGTCACACAATTCATCCGCTTTGCACAACGGGCCGTGTCTACTGAACCCTACAGCTGGGTTTAATCGGCAGTGGTCACTCAACCAGCTGATCGCCGAGTTCAAAGAACTCTGCCAGTGGCTCACACACGTTCAAGAGGAGATTTATTCTAGTCCAGAAAATCTGTCAAGCAGGAAATTGAGGATGGTGAGTTGGAATAATTGATTTTGTATGAGAACTTTTTGCTTAATATTTAATAACTCCTTCATTTTCTTATTATTAATGTGAAAGTGAAATATTTTTTCTTTGTTACTTCTTGCCATTTTAGCGGATCAAATGAATTTTGATATATATTGTCAAAATATGATATATAGATAGAAAAAGACGTAACATAAGAATAAGATTCTTTGTTCTTATGGACATGGGTTACTATTTATTCAATATGTCATAGTTATGCGTACATAGTTGGAGATAAAATCTGATGTAACTGATATTATAAAAAGATTTAATTTTTTGTTTGTAATAGATAAATTTAAAAATACTTAATCGATTTTAAGAATTACTTCATCTATAGAATGTTACATTATCAGTAAAGTAATATGGGCTGTATTTGATCTTATTTAACCGTCTATCCTTACAAAGCTCTGGGGTAGGTCGGATTAGTTTTTTTTTTTATAAAGTAATAAATATTCTGCGTGTAAAACTATGTGCGCTGCAAACATAAACAAATTAAAAGTTGTCCCCACGCAGGAGTTTAATTCCAAGAGTATTAAAACTATAAACAATAGTTTCCTTATTTATAAAACTTCATACAAATCTATTTTAACTATTAGTTTTGTTTTTTTTTTTTTAATGGAGAAATTAATGCAAAAGAAAAAATAAAATACCTCAAAAGGTAAAACAAGTTTGTGAAAAGTTTTATTAATAAGTAGGTAAATGTATTCTACAGGGCCGTGCGTGGGCTGTCCATCAATTGACCAATTAATTTATTATTATTAAGTAATTTGAATATTACTCCAATTTATCTCTTCGTAATAATTTGTTTTTTTTTTTGTAACAGTTAATAAGTTAGATTTAGAATACTACAGCGCGCCTCATTGAGGTTACTGGTGACCCAAAAGCTGGTAGCTACTTTGCCCAAAAGATAAGTTTGGCAATCCAAAGAGGTAATGCTGCCAGTATCTTGGGTACGTTGCCTCGGTGTGGTGCGTTGGGAGATTACTTATAATTAGTATTTAAGGAATTGTATATTAACTTTAATTTATTGATGTATTGTACAATGAAATTAATCTGGAAGAATATTAGTGTGGTTATTGAGAGTATTGATTGGTAAAGAGTTGATTCCGACAAGCAAAGGGCAACGTTTAGCCCTTTAACAATTGGTCACATGACAATTTCGGTAGTCTAAACATTTACATTGTTTATAATTTAAAAAAAGATAAACAATCTTATATATTCGATTTTGAGGTCAGCTAACGTACGTACGTACTGTATGTCGACCCATTAGGATCTTTTTTGCTTCTTCCTGCCTTATACTATCATTTTTTAGATCCTATATATTTATTTTTCAATATACCGTGATAGGATATGTATAGGCCTCTGGCATCGAATAAGCCGTTCCCAGTAAACTCATGTGCATACTTGTTAGTAAATCGTAGTTGCACATCAGGTGTTTTATAGATTCCCATTCCTCACTGTGTGTCCGAAAACAGAATATGTAAGGTAATAGTAAACAAACTAGGATAATTTTTATGTAATTTGAAATAGTAAACTAAACCACCTGATTAAAGGTGGTACCTCAATGTTGCTTATAAAATTAAATAACTCTGTCCACGTGACTGTTATAAAAAGTAATCAACAGTTTTCTTTCTCAAATAGTTTATTTATGTTAAATTTCTTGAAAATATGTTGAGCCGTTAAAACCACCATCAGAGGGAGACTTTGTACAAAAGTCGATTGCTTGGGTACCTCTGTCCCATTCGTAAATTTACAGGGTAGAGAGGAATAACACCTGAGTCCTTAGGAATGGCAACGCATGGGGGGTATCATGGGCGAAACAGTATGTGTGTGTACTGTTACGTCCATGGTACCGCTCATGTCTATAGGCGACGGTTACCACTTTCCATCAGGTGGGCCGTCAGTTTGTTTGCTATTCGAAGTCGTAACCCCAAGAGTCAAAAACTCTCAAATAAACTCCCTTTTTCATCTATAATATTAGTTAAGGTTAGTGAAGGATATATTTATTTTTTTTTAGAACCGCATGTCAGAGTTGGGGGCGGTAGAGCCACGCCGCGCGAAATTCATGGAGCAAGGTGCTGCCATATTGGAGCGTATACCAGAAGCGAGTGCCGAGGTAACTGAAAACGTTTCGAAAATATTCATCATCATTTCAGCTTCATCATTCATTGCTGAATGATTTTTTTATAGTTTGTGGTAGATGGTGTTTTTCCTTTGAAGTGAGTAATGATAGAGTTAGAAAAATAAAGTTAATTTTTAATTGAAGCAATGGACGATATAAAAAAAGTTGAATCACCCTAATTCTATGACACCCTATGACACCTTTCTTCACGAATTACAGTTCAGAATTGTCGTTCTCTCTGATTTGGTTAAAACTTCTAAAGAAGTGGCGGAACAGTTTTAACATGGCTGTGTTTCGGTTTGAAGGGTGGGATATGGCGTGAATTTACTGGGTACAGAGGAATAACACCTGAGTCCTCAGGAATGGCAACGCATGGGGAGTATCATTGGCGAAACAGTATACTCTGTTATGTCCATGGTACTGCTCATGTCTATAGGCGACGGTTACCACTTTCCATCAGGTGGGCCGTCAACTTGTTTGCCATTCTAAGTTGTATAAAAAAAAAAGACAGATTTTTTTCCAGGGGAAACTTTGTACAAAACCTGTTTACATAGATACCTCTGTTTCACCTATGTTTCAACCGTAAAACAACTCTGTTTGCATAGCGGTGTTTCGATATGTCGGGACCACACAACCAGAGAAAGACTTTGTAAAAGTCGATTGCTTGGGTACCTCTGTCCCATTCATGTTTCAACCGTAAAGCAGTTGTGTTTGCATGGCTGTGCTTTTAGTTTGAAGGGTGGGATATGGCGTGAATTTACTGGGTACGGTGGAATAACACCTGAGTTCTCAGGAATGGCAACGCATGGGGAGTATCACGGGCGAAACAGTATACTCTGTTATGTCCATGGTATTACTCATGTCTATAGGAGACGGTTACCACTTTCCATCAGGTGGGCCGTCAGCTTGTTTACTATTCTAAGTTGTATAAAAGAAAAGCTTCCTATAGCTATTTGACCCTTTCCCTTCCCGTGGGTGTCATAGCATTTCATTCCTCGATCATTAAGTTCCCTTAGTCGCCCTAAGGGAACTTAATGATCGAGGAATGGGTTCCTCCTGTCCTGGATGTTCCTCTTAAAACATAACCAAACCTAACTGCGGTTGCCAACCCGCCTTCAAAGCGTGGCTACTACTGGCAAAGCCTCTGAAGGGCGAACCCTATGTTTAGCAGTGGTCAGTTGGCGGCTGATATGATGATGATGATGCCGATACTGAAAAACCAGGGTTCTCTAGCAGAGCACATTTTAAGTAATCAGAAACATCGAAAAATGTTCAACTGTTATTGAAAACTGACAGATATTTGTGACATAAATAAATAAAACATTGACATTGCCATACTTCGTTATGAATATTCATAATGATTAAAATTGTATCGTAATTTTGTGATTCCAAATCCCATTTCATTATGTCATTTACAGGTCACTTGGCGAATGGAACATTTGAAAGTAAAGTGGGATGGCCTCCGGTTGCTGCTAAGTCCTGAACAGCAGCATAAGGATGAAGATGGTTCTGATACTGTCGGTTAGTTACATAAAATAGGTTACACGAGTTATAATTATTTGTTTTTCGATAGAAGAATTCATGTTGATATATTTAGTTACAGCGCTATCTAGCGGAAATATTACAAACTAAGTTGATTGTAATTGCGACAATTTCAAGTTTTTTTTATCCAAACCAGTGCTTTCAATGTAACAAGAATTTTGTAGTTGACTTTCTTACATTAGTTTTAAACGTATAATATAGATGGCGTTTAAAACACTTTCAGATTACTTATTTTTTGTTCTTAGCAAATTTTTTAGAGAAGAAAATGGAATAACAATCCCTGAGTGTGAAGACTTTTTTTGAGACTTAGAATGACAAACACGCTGACGGCCTGCCTGGTGGAAAATTATCTTCAATAGACATGAATAACACCGTAGACATAACAGTCATACTGTGACGTTTATGTTCCTCTTCATGCATTCCTGAGGGTTATGGTGTTATCTCCGCACCCTGTAATTTCATTGTAACTACAAACAGAAAAACAGTCACATAAGCATAGCTTCTTCATGGCAGACTCCCTCTGGTAATTTTTTTTATTATTTCATACAGATACAGCTCATGAGCTTCGTTGCCTCCGCCGCTGGCTTCACTGCATGGAAGGTCGGTTGCCGCCGCCTTCGCTCACCGCAGCCAGGGCCGCATCGTACCACGAGCTCATGCGGAAACTGAGAGAGCATCAGGTCAGTGACTTCTCATAAATTCATAATGGTTTCTGTAACTGATAAATTAAGACTGTAGACAAGCGCCCATTTTGTTTAGAATATGATAACCAGGAATGAGGCTCACAGTCGTGTTTTCCTTTAGCTCCGAAGTTTTTTTTTGGGTGATAATGGAATGTTAACTCCGCTTGCGCTATCGGTATATGGTGTTGGGACACCAATGAGGGATGACAGATGATAATGAAATAGGTCAGTTGGCCTGTATTGACGAATTTATAGAGAATTAACCATGATGGTTTCTAGGGAGAACCGCGTGGAGGTCGACCTGATAGAGTATATTGGTAGTAATGGGGCTGTTATATCTCCATTACTAATAATCTGTCCACTCTCTACCCTATTCAAAGCAAATCCTATTATGATTGTAGTGTAAGGTAAGTTGATAAACTAAGGGACTAAAATGCCCAATTTACGTATATTTTATTGTTTAACCGACTATCAAAAAAAGGAGAATGATATTTTTCAACTGCTTATGCAACTCGGTGCAAACAAGTAGAATCCAGTGATGTATTAGAACTATGCGTAATGTTGGTAGTGCAAAATGCAGTATGTAAAATAAGTTTTACGTTATATTGCATTACACATTTTACTGATTTATTTATTTATACTTTTGCACACATTGAAAGAGTGGACTTAATGCCTATTGGCATTCTCTACCAGTTAACCACCACGTCAAACAGAGAGAGCAGATGACGGTGAACAGATTTAAAAAAATAGTAAATTAATGATTGCGTACAATCTATTTTCATTATCTCTATTTCACTACTGGCGGAGTACAATTAAGAGACGATAAGTGAGGACGAAGTTAGATCAATTAGTTCATCATGACTAATTCACCAGGAAATAATTCGATAATTTCCAGGAAGGTTCAAATGAATTGATTTTGAAACTTAAAAAAATAATTTATTAATAAAACAATTAATATTAATTTAAAAAAATATATATATTTTATATCATCATCATCACACGTCCGCGTGATCTATATCCATCTCTATTCCATATAGTATAAGAACACCAAATTTCATAGCGATTGTTTAAGCCGTTAAGGCGCTATTAACTAACAAAGAAACTCACTTTCATATTTATAATATTAGTAAGGATGCTGAATATTATGAGTAAACTGAATGAATCTATGTTAGTATTGCTTGAATTATAGTTGTTAATAAATATCAAATAAAATAACATAGTTATTCAATTCGAAAGACAAAAATTTCGTCAGTAGTCGCTGAATATCTCCGACCTAAATTTGATGCAATCAAACCACTGCATATTGTTATCAACACAGTTTCCAATCAAGGAACTCGAGACGGAGCAAGCCACCATTTCTGTTAATTAATTACACTGATTTAAAACAAGCTCACTCCATTGTCCTGCCGGAACGTTCTTGCCAATGCAATGAACATTTATTATAATAGCCGTATCGTGTCGCTATTGTATAACTCGTCTAACAGCTATTAATCGCATGGTTTTATGCATGTTCTTTATAGATAAGGCTCTTATTATATATCAACGAATCGTGAATTATTACGAGTCGTGATTTATAACGGATCGTTTTTCTATTTTAGTACATGTGACCACACCGTTCTGAGTGAACAGAGAGACAATTTGCTACACAAATACGGTCAACTAAAAAGGAAACGTTTTACCATCAACAGTTGGTTACTTTTACTGTATATTTTAACTTCAGTGGCTTATTACATCTTTACGATAATGTTAAAAAATGTCTGGACATAAATAAATCTGTCGTATCGTTCCGATTCGGTTTTTATTATGTACAATTCGAATGCAAGTGTGAATTTAAATTTAATTTGCGTTTACTCCAATTCAAACACTAATAATATTGGTTTGATAGCGAATTAGTTATAAATCTTGATTCCATTTTCAATTTTTTTGTTTGGCAATTCAGTATTAATTGACAAGCGTATATGTGAATGGGTCCTAAATCCACACCGTTTACGTCAATTTCTCCATAAATCTCAGACGTCAATAATAAGAGGTTAACAGCGATTTATTCATAAGTCTCGATTCCGTTTGTAATGTTCGTAATCCGTCTCATATGATACCTTATTAATTAACAATGAATGTGTGATTTGGCCCTTTATTCCAACTTACTCATCAAGTCTTACACCTTAAACGCCAATAATACTCTATCAATAATGATTTATTCATAAATCACCAATCATTTTTCGATATTCGTAATCCGTTATTGACGTTTCGTTATTAAATGACGGATGTATGTGTGAATTGACCTTAAGTCTTTGTCGTTTACTCATACCTACCTATAAATCCTACACCTCAGACGCCAATAAAACTATAAATCAATATCGATTTATTTAAAACTCACGATTCCGTTTGCAATCTGTTATTGTCATTGACTATTCATTATTAGTTGAGTAATATATTCATTTATTTATTTAAATAACTTTATTGACGAAACTAAAATAAGGTACAAAAGGCGGACTTAATGCTAGAAGTCTTTTTTTACCAGTCACCCTTTGGGATGAACGAAAATCACGAATGTGGAACTTCATTATTGGACTATGTACAGAAAATAAAAACTAATAATATATGCCTATACAAAATAAATAATACATAAATATAAAGGAATATGCTAATATATACAACTAAATAGATATATAAAATATAAGTTATATATAAATAAAATATATAAATAACAGTGTGAAATTGTTAGCAGTACTTAAAATTTACCTGTGCAATAATATAAATTAAGTAAGTTTAAGGTACATATTTAAGGGGGCAGAAATTTTGTGAACCAAAAATTTATAAACGGATCACACATCAATAGCTGAATACGCCATCTTAATATGAGTGACTCAAAATCCCTTCTCATTTTTCGACCAATGTTTCTTTAGGGAAATATTCAGTTTCGTTGGTAAAAAGCTCAATTTAAATGTGTAGGTATGTGTGAACGGGCCTTAATTCCGTGCCGTTTACTCCTGCCTACCCATAAACCTTACACCTCAAACGCCAATAATACTCGATCAACAGCGATTTATTCACCTTAGAGCACGTCCATTGCTGTGGCGCCGCCGTGACGCTCGTTGCACGGTCTAATGATCGTTATAAATCAGCCGGCGATGTAGAGATGCCCTTAATTAGCTTCGACAACTCGTGAGTGAGAGTTCTTTGTTGTATGATCAATGTCGCCGTGTTCCGTTTACGGAACTTGGTTGTTTCTGTTAAATAGATTAGATACAAATATGCTTTACATATACCGTTTTTCATACTGAAAATTGAGTTACATACTTAGAATATCTTATGTTATTTTTAGTAATTTTAATCACATTTAAAAAATTTAGATCATTTCTATTAGTATCCAATTTATCAAGTATTAGTTTTTACCAGAGAGAGACTTTGTACAAAAGTCGATTGCTTGGGTACCTCTGTCCCATTCGTGTTTTAACCGTGAAGCAGTTGTGTTTGCATGGCTGTGTTTCGGTTTGAATATGGCGTGAATTTACTGAACACCTGATGGCGTAAATTTACTGGGTACCAGCTACTGTAATAACACCGGAGTCCTCAGGAATGGCAAATTCTAGTTTATTTTTTATTTGTTTTTTAATGGTGTATCTAATATGGCTTTTATATTCAAGGAATAAGAAAGAGTTGTAAGGCGATTTCTTTTAAAGCGATTATACTAAACTATACTGACTTAAAAAAAGGAAGTTCTTAATTTGGTGCTATGTTTTTATGTTTGTTACCTCATAACTCCGTCACTTTTTTATCTGAAAGGATACTTGCAGATTGGTCTCATAGCAATTTTATCAAAATCGGTTCAGTAGTTGTTACTATAACTACAAATGAACTCTGTTTTTTTTTTAGTGGAACGCAATCTAAATGCTAAAGGCATTCTAAAGCTTGACTGGTAGAGAATCCCTATAGCATTAAGTCCGCCTTTTGTACCACATTATAATGTAGGATGCATTGCTAGCAATGACGCTGTTAGACCCCATTACTAACAATTCAATTGACCCCACCCCGTACAAGTTTTTTTTTTGGTGGGTGAAAATGGTATGGTAACCCCGCCTGCACTAATGGGATACGCTTGCGGACGACCAATGAAAACCTTTAATGGAAAGTGGTAACCAGGTGATTCTCAGTCTCCATTACTAACAGTCCCTTTTCCCCCCACCCCGTACAAGTTAATGCAGCCATTATAATATTCTCCCTTGAGATGTATTAACAACCTCAAATATATCTTAAGCGATTGTTAGTAATGGGGAGATTAGTCCCCATTGCTATCGATATACCCTATCAGGTCGATCTTCACGCGGTTCCCCCTGGAAACTGTCGTGACTAATTTATCGTTGAATTAGTCACGATGGGCTAAGTGATCTGTCTTTTCATCCTCACCTATCATCTCTCACTGGACCCCTGCCAATGTATACCGATAGCGCAGGCGAGGTTGCCATGCCATTTTCGATCATTAAAAAATCCTCAAATATATCAGGCGGCGGAGAGTCTCGGGGTGGTCTATAAACTAAATACTAGAGGTCGCCACCTACATAAGAATAGTAGTAGGTTTATTAATAGTTTTGTAAATGCATAATTGTGTTGTATATGTGTATGTGACACTGTATACGTATATCTGAAAAAGCAACAGTGCGTCCATCGTGAGAATTTTTATATGAGACCTCGACGATAGTGAACCCTATTGATTTTTAAATAAATTATTAAATTTGTTTTAGAAATTGACGAAAAATAAGACTTATATCTTGCGTTGTGGTCCCGGCATAGAATGAGCCACCTCTTAGCAACAATGGGAACTTAATGGTCGAGGGATGAGGAGCAGCGTCCCTTTATAACGTCACTAGAGCCTAACTACCTTTGCCAATCCGTCTGCCAAGCGTGGCAGCTACTGGCAAAATTCCCCTTAATGGGGGAGGCCTATCTTCAGTAGTGGACAGTCAACAACTGATACAAAAATAATATAACATATGCAA